AATTTTATTTTAGAAAAAGAATTAGGGTTCCGCGCAAAAAATTTAAAACGCTAAATTACATGCGGGCGAAGTCGCGGGGAACAGCTAGTTATAAATATTTTCAAATATCAAATATGTTAAGTCTTTTGTTGAAAATTTATTGATATTTAGATTTTAGATTGTACTCGTAGATTAAGAAAATAAATGTTCACCTTGGCTAAAATTCGTTTAGAATATAAGCATTGTCTTACAACTTGTATGTTATTATATCAATGATTTCAGTATTCTGATTAAAAAGTCGGGTCAAGGCAGATCGCATAGCGGCCATCGTTTTGTTGTCCGTTTTTAGGTTTTAGGGTTCCATACCCAAAAAATAAAACGGTCCGTATGTAACGGATTTCTAGCTCGTGGAGGGAATGAGTTACGTACTTGATGTTTTAATGTTTGGTGTAGAATGCTCAATTAGAAGTTGAAACCGTATATTGAAGTAGAAATTCAATTAAACTATTTTCTATAAGGACCTTATTGTGTAGAAATACAAAATATTTTTATTACTTTCCTTCATAAATAAAGCAATGGTCGAATTCCGCTTTATTTCTAACTTGTCAGTTTTTGACCTTTTTGTTAAACCATAAAGAACTGTAGTATAAACATTATTAAATATTAAAAAAAAACGATTCGTAATGTAATTTGTAAGCTGGAACCACTAAAACAAACATTTATTAGAAAAAGATGTACGGAACTCTAATAGAGTGAGGCCCAAAACACACTTGCCTGTTATTTTTTCCTAAAATTTATCCAGTTATACGATTTCTTCAATAATGAAAGAAAATTAATATCGCATATGTCGATACGGTATTAAGTCACGATTTAACTCGTAGTTTCAACGTTTGTATTATTTGTTGATTTGTTTTGCTAATGTTCGCAAACAGTCACGCTTTTATGTATAATGATATATTGTGTGGATAAATTTGGATTTTGATCATTAATGAACGACCGATTGAAGATGATTTGTGATTGCTTCACCAAAAATCAATTCTATTAAATGTTTCACAATCATTAATGATTTAAGAAACTCAATTAACACCTCGGAATTCGCAACGTACAAAACATTTTTTTACTAACGCCTAGTGCAATATGTAATCAAGGTCCATTTATAATTACATCGTGCGTATTTTTATCACTTCTTATTCCACGGCTATCATCAGCAATCTTTCTGTATTCTCTAGCATCCTACAAGTCTATATTTCTCGCTCTCTGTCTCCACGTTGTCTATCAGTGACAATTGCTGTTGAAATAAATAAGGATATTAATTAATTATCCTGTACTTTATTCAAAGTTATGACAAACGGATTAATGGTGAGAAAGAGAAAAAAAGAGGCTTATCGGTGACCCGAATTTGGTTAAAACCAATAGTACCAGCCTCGAACACAGACGCAGCCTTTGGGTTTTCTACAGGATGCATTTCGGAGAGTGTTCGCAGGAATTGCTTAATTTGATTTCTCCCTCTCCCTTCCACCATCGGACATACAGACGTTCGGCCAGTCTCCACCCTTTCATTGTTGACTTACCATGCATTCGAACCAAACGATTCGCCACGTCGTTCATCATGCGTACAGCAAAGGAGTGGAATAAGTTGCCAGCATCTGTCTTTCCATCCGATTACAGTGTGGATGTCTTCAAGGCAAGAGTTTTGTTAAGTCAGTGTGCTTCAACATCTTAAGCTACATCACCACTTACCATCAGGTGGGATCGTATATAAGCGCTGGCATAGTAGAATATAAACAAAAAATTGCCGTAATTTTGCACCTATTGGCTGCTGAGTACACCGTTTTGATAAATGTTTATTTTATTAATTAGTTGTTCTGTTAATGCCTGGTAACCATAACCAAGTACGGCAGAATACACCATGTTGAAAATTTTTGTTTTAGAATTTAATTTGACTTTTTATAACTCCACTAAGGGACCAAAATAAAAAAAGTGTTTGCTGTTCTTCTACTAATTTCTTTATGCTTAGTATTAATTGAAGATAACAACTGTCATAAATAAATGTGCTGATCTGGGTATTCCATTCGTTCCACTTGTACTGTGATAATATTAACCGGTACGGAATTAGTCATATTTATTGTCTTAAGTCATGCACGTGTACGTAGTTGAGTCATGCTGCAGCTATATCATGGTTGTAGCACGAATAGGTCGGCACGACCGGCGCGGACCACACTCTCACAGAATACCAGCAGAAGGTAACACCTTAATGCTACTGTGTTCCGTTTGGTGAGTGCAGAAAACCGGAGGCACTGTTTACTAGAAACGAAGCATTCCATCTTAGTCCTCAGGGGTGATGACCCGACTGTATTTTATATAGGGTCATTTCTAATTTACCAAAGACCTTTTGAGAATATGTAGGTTGCATCATTTAAAACTATTTTTCAAATATTTGCGAAAACAATATATATTTGCGAAATCACTCTTTACAGAATATAATACATTTATAAAAAAACTACTTTTAAGTTTTTATTGTCATGTCTGACTCCTATTAAGTCTGTATTTTGTAGTACCTAAACAATTTCGTAGAAAATTGTCAAAGCAAATGCCTTTTTTATTTTGCACTTGATATCAGTATAAAGTTGATATTGATATCAAGTTGTTGAGTACTTGATATCATGTTGAAATCATTATACATATTTAAAAAAAAACAAATATAAAAATTTATAATAGGTAATTCTAAAGCATGATCTATGTACGACGCTAATTTTCGACGTGTGCAATATTAATCTCACAACCAACGGAAGGACAAGCGTCGCGAGCGCACTAAAGGCGACTGTATTGTTGTAGATGTCTATGGGCTACAACATCTAATCACAGTCATGTGGCAGTCCACATGATATGCTCGTTTGTCACGCTTCTTTCCGAGTTCATTGACAGAAGTTCCTTTTGCTTGTTTTGCTTTGCGTTCGTATATTAATTTGATAACCGCTGTAGCGTTTATGCACTCCGAAATCGAGATCAAATCGTATACAAAACATAGATAATTTAACTTCTCACGTGTTATGTTGAGTTCATTGACGTTCCATTCTAGGTAGGTAATTGGATCTCCAGAACCGATGCGAAATGTTTTTATATAAAATCACTTATTCGTGACATAAAAAATAATTTCTCGCATTGTATACGATTGGGGCGACAGTATCTTTTAAACCGCAAGGTTACCCCAGTCACCACTAATTCGAGGCCATTGTGTGGTTTTCGTGAAATATGATCTATGCCATTGTGCTTAAGGGAGAGCAAACTGAATTATTTATTACAGTATCATAATAATAAGAATTCGCACCATAACACTATGACAATAACCTGAGAATAGTGTTACCTACTTATACCAATATATACATTTCTAATGCTAAAAGTAAAATTCATAGCAGATAAAAAGCAATCTTCTGAAATAGACTATTTAAAATAAACCACTCATCGGCGGCGTTCGACACTTATCAAGTAAGCGGCATGCTCGTATGCATAAACAATTAAAAAAATTTGTACAACCGACTTCAATATAAATAAAATAATTTATTGTATTTTAATAAAATAATTTATTGGATTTTTTAAAAACCGCTCAACCTATTTCGATAAAATTTAAATGGGACATCCTGGAAACCTATACCCTATGAAACAAAAAAAAAAAGAAATTTTCAAATGGGTTCAGGCGTCTTCGAGTCATCGGTGAACATACATAAAAAAGATTCCGACGAATTGAGAACTTCCTCCTGTTTTGAAGTCGATTAAAATTTTATTAAATTCTATGGTTGTTTAGTAAAAAGGTTTATAAAGGTATTAAGGTTTAAAAATATTATAATAATATTAAAGGTTTAAAAAGGTTTATAAACATCGATGGTAAGTCTTCATTTGAAGGATGTTTTTGAAATGTTAGTTAGCATCGCGCCAAGAATTTCATCTTTTATTTAAATTCGATATACATTGCAAAATGAGATCGTATCTCGCTTACAGTCACGCACTAATTGCTTTTATACGATCACGAATCGATTTACGATAATCGAGTAACACCTACAAGCTTGACAGGTAAAAAAAACTATTGGAAATTGTATATCTCCATCAATTCCACCTGTAGGTTAAGGATGTTCTGAAAATGTAATGTCGATATATTTTAACATTCAATAATAAATAAACAACGCATATATCTTTTCTAATCGCGTGCCTTTGTACTAATCTATTAGAATATCAAATACTTTGCTAGAAATTATATACTACGAAAGTGACATAAAAGTAAATTGAAATACCTAATTTTACAAATTATTCAAATTATGTATAAACTTTACATCTATAATTAAAAATTAAAAATTGTGTACAGCCGACTTCAATATAAGTTATTAAGAATAACTCAAAAACTATTGTCTGACCTTGATCAAGCTTTTTCAGCTTTCAAATAAAAAAAGAATCATCGAAATCCGTTCACCCAGTAAAAAGTTATGAGGTATCACACATAAAAAAATATACAGTCGAATTGAGTACCGTCTTCTTTTTGGAAGTCGGCAGAAATGAGTCATCAATGTAACGTAGTTAAAGTTAAAGATTTACGAAAACAACGAATGAAGAAAAATGATCCCAAATTAAGTACTTAATGTAAAATAAAAAAGTTGTTTTTTAAACCACTATAACCAACGAGTTACGGTATGTAATTTTTGACAAGTGAAAAATAGTTATTTAATGTTCGGGGGGGACAAGAGGTCAAAAATTTATGTGTTTGGCATTGTGCTTCGGTCGTTATTTTTATGATAAAAATGGTCGATTAATGCTTTTAACCGTTAAATTTTAGCTACTAATAAATATAAATTTCATGCTATCTAGTTTTAATTTCGATTAATTAGAGATTATTATGTATTGTATAAAATATACTAATACATACTAATGTAAAAGAACAAACTTTAGGCATAAAGCTATTTTGAACTTACTTGTTTTGTTGTATTTATAAAAAAAAGTGTCATGAAAATAAAATATAGCAGTATATGTATACTATGACAGAAGAGTGTTCACTTAATATCCGACCAAGTACACTAAAGGTAAATTCTTATTGCATGCCGTAAGCGCAAAGCGCGCAGGTATGTTCTGCTAGGGCCTAAAAATTAATTTCAGCTTGTTTGTAAAATAAATAAAAGATTTATAAAAAGCCTCTTTCATTTGGTTTTATAAATAACGAAATAGTGACAATATTTCATTTACCGAAAATACACGTATGATATTTCTTGAAATATTACTCGCCTTTTTATTTTTCAAGTCAACTTTCATTTCAACATGATGCGAATTCGGCGTTGGAAACCACACCAAATTAACTGAGCAACATCTAAAATATTAAATATTATCAATGGTTTAAAAGAAATAAATATATTGTAGAGATTAAATCTAAAATTGATGTAGCTAAATATTAAATAAATTTAAAAAAGGGGAAAGAAAATTATTCATGAATAGCAAACAGCTGATAGCAGTCGACGATAGTGCAATAAAAATACTGATTAGTATAGCATAATATTTAAAAGCAAAGTGTTAAAGATAAAAGCTTAGTGTTAAAGATCAAAGCAATTAGCAATCTATTTAAAGGCTTACAGGAAAGCCTACATCAGTAACAATAAGGAGTTTGAGCGAAAGTAGGTGAAGTTAAATGGAAGTACAAATTAAAAAGAAAACATTTACATAATCGATTCCGACTCTGACTGCTTTAAAAACACTCAAGGAAGAAGTAAAATCATACAAAATTTAAGTTCAATTTGTAACAGTTGACAAGCACAGATCGTATCAAGTCGAACGTTTTCATATTGTTAATAATGTTGATGAGGCTGATATCATTTGAATCATGGACATGAAAAAATCAAGGACTGTTTACGTACACGATTATAAGTAAGATAGTATGCTTATTTGCATAAAAGCGATGTGGTGGTGATTTTAAAAACTTGCTCTTCTAATACACATAGGCTATATACATTTATCGTAAGGTATTTACAAAGTCCTTTATAAATATTTCTGTTGTACGGTGTATTTCATAGAAAAAATTACGAGATTAAATTTGTGACCATACAAATGGCCAATCTGTCATCAAATAACGAAACGAATAAGAAATTGAAGTAGTGTAGCGTTTGTTACTCGTCTAGCCAATAACCAATGCGAAGGGTGGCGATTATGGTATGTTTACCTATTTTTTTAAGCTCTTGTGAACGGTTTACGAACTAAATCTTATTTCGGTTTCCGTTAAATCAGTAGTACCTACCAAGATGGAACTAGCTGACGTTTGGTGGAAACAACATTTTGTTCTACACAATATTGTGCTATTATGTAACGCACAGTGACTCCATGGCCAAGATTTTCGCATTACATTGCATTGTTGGAATGATAACACAATTATGGTAATGCGACTGGCATTGAAACTATATTTATTTTGCAGCAGAGAGAGTCATATGAGGAACTTATTACCTGCGACAGAGTACCGTAGAGCAAAATTTTAAGAAATATCAAAAAAATTTAAAATTGTCTCAAACTGTTTTCATATTTGTTTATACGACATTTTATATTGTAAATTAATTTCTAAAATGGGAGAAATATATTTATATATTTATTCTTTATTGCATTCCTTAAAACAAAAGAATACAAAGGTCGGACTTAACTTTGTCGTTATAGACGGTGCATGCTCCGACTACAAGCCTATTAACGCTGGCGTTCCACAAGGCAGCGCGCTATCACCAACGCTGTTTCTTCTGCATAGCAATGATATGTTGCAAACCGGTAGCATTCATTGCTATGCGGATGACAGCACTGGTGATGCTCTATACACCGGCCGTGCCAATACTTCCCGGGAAAACGTCGTCGAGTACCGGAAAAAAACTTGTGTCTGAAGTCGAGTCTTTGCTGAACAAAGTCTCGGATTGGGGGCGACTAAATCTAGTCTAGTTTAATCCTCAGATGACACAAGTTTGCGCGTTTATCGCTAAAAAGAACCCCTTTGTCGTATCTCCTCAGTTTCAAGGTACTCCCCTTGTTGCCTCAGCCAGTATCGGAATCCTCGGCGTCGACATATCAAGTGTCGTGCAGTTTCGTGGTCACTTGGAAGAGAAGACCAAATTGGCCTCTAAAAGGCTAGGCGTGCTCAGCAGAGCGGGACAGTATTTCATGCCGGCACAACGCCTGCAACTTTACAAGGCGCAGGTTCGGCCTCACATGGCATACTGTTCCCATCTCTGGGCTGGGGCTCCCCAGTGCCAGCTCTTTCTACTTGACCGCATCCAGCGCAGAACGGCTCGAATGGTCGACGACCGAGTCCTTTCCGATCGCCTCGATTCATTGGCACTGCGAAGAGATGTTGCATCCCTTTGCATTTTCTTTCGCATCTACCATGGGGAGTGCTCTGAGAAATTGTTCAGATTAATCCCAGCCGCCAAATTTCACGAACGCACATCGCGGCAGTACTCCCGATACCATCCACACCATCTGGATGATTGGCGGTCCACCACTGTGCGATTTAGAAGATGTTTTCTTCCTCGCACAACTTCCTTGTGGAATAGTTTACCACCAGCGATTTTTCCGGACCGATACGACTTAGGGACCTACAAGAAAAGAGCCTACTCCTTTTTAAAAGGCCGGCAACGCATCTGCAATTCCCCTGGTGTTGCGGTTGTTCATGGGCGGCGGTAGTCACTTACCATCAGGTGAGCCGCAAGCTCGTTTGCCCCCTCTCCTATAAAAAAAAAAACTTAATACCTTGAGGCATTCTCTACCAGTCAAGCCATGGAGTGGTGAGAATTTGATATAGGTGTAGCAATATAGAATAAAAACAAAATAAAAATTATAAATAACTACGTAGTATACACAAATAGACAACTATACAAATAGAATGTTTAAAAAGGTGGTAAGACCTATGTGTAATATATTATATGATGAGGATAGTAGAGAGATGTTGCCGTTTTGTGATTAAGTCGTATTAAGATAATGCCAGTAGTAAATCGTTCCTATGTGTGGCGAGTCTTCTAAAGTTACATTTAAAGATGAAAAATACTTTTATCTTTTTAGATTATTATATATTATTATCATTCCTACCTAAATAAAAATGCTTACAACTGACCCAAATATTATTTTTGTGTGAATTATTTTTGAAGTCTATACTGATTATATCGCATTTTTGTACAGTGTAAACTCGCCTTAAACAAAACCTTGCAATTAAGAATTGTGTAAAGATAATTTTGGCGGTACTCTATTCTCCGACCTTTGTGTCATGCCTTTAGAGGGCATCTCCGATAATCTACACGTACATATCTAATTTATCTACAATGGGTTTACAATTGGTATCAAACTGAACAATACACGTTAATAGCTTAGTAACTTTGTTATGTCATTCGAAAGCCAGTACATAAGGCGGTTAGTTTAGCCGGTTGTTATTTTTATTGTGCGATTTTAAGTCTTCATGAAAGATTAGTTTATACGTGTTGATAGTTTAGACGTGAGTTGTACGGCGTAAGGAGACTCATTTTCACTGGCTCTAGTCACGGATATGACAGTTGCCGGAACAAACAGATTATGAATGACTTAAACATGTTGTGGCGGTGTAAGAATATCCACTACAATATAACGTTCCGTGGATGACGTAAGTGGCAAAGAGGGAAACTGAAACAGGACATGGGTAGTAGTATCCTTCTGATACCGTTGCCGTTACAGGCGATGAGGGCTAATAATTTTATGCTCACCAGATGTCGCTAGATGACACTGAGGTAAAGTTTTTTGCTACACGGTGTAATTTAATTGAGAAGTTGGTTTTTAATAAAAGTTAGCAGTTTCTAGTGTATTAAATTAATACACAAAACAATGCGTCAGTTGTTAGCTCTTTAATTTGTTTTGCACATTTTTAACTTTTTTTTTAATATTCTACTTTTATGAATATCTGTGGTTTGGTTTATTTATTTTTAAACAATATTAATATTAATTTAAAGAAACAATAACCTTTATATTTTCCGAACAAATTAATTTCCCCGCTATGAAATCTGTCAAATATTATAACTCACTTTCTAGTGGCGCCACTCTGGTGGCAGAAAAAGTCGTGGATGCCCTCATTACAGTGTACTGCTGAATATAGGCCTCCCCCATAGATTGCCTCATAACCCCATCATAGGGGGGATATTTGCCACAAGTGCTAAGCTTTTTAAGCGTAGTGTAGTTTTTTTATTTTTAGTCTTTATTATGAATCGTATACGAATAATAATGTCCTGCAGACCGAATTTCGGTTTAGGCGGTCAGTTTCATGGAAGACTAGCCATCTGCGCAGGGCAGAATTATAAAGCACGATTGCATAGATTAATGATAGGTCGATGAGCTATTATTAATCTATGCACGATTGCATACGCAAGCACAGGTGCCATCTCTATTCCCTCACTCTAATATTCCGATGGGACGGTAATTCGGCACGACTGGAGAGAGATCAGGCGCAGAACCAACGGCTTTACGTCAGTGGCGTAGCATGTAACCAAGCGCTCTGGGGCAAAAATGAAATAGGGACCCTATTTATACTAAATTAAATACTTTAAAGGTGCAAAACTACTACATTATCAGCTCCTTGTCGCCCACTGCAGGGCATAATAAAGCAAAGCTACTTAATACTGACTAATTAAATCAGAAACCATCGCAGGAGGGTACAAGCACCTCTGGTATTGGAGAATCCCTGGCTGAGCATCCATGCCCAAGCTACCCTACTCGCGTATCGAAATGGGATGATGATTTCGCCTGCACTGCCACCATTCAAAGTATTCCACTGCTATTGAAAAATACTCCAATTTTGTTTTCTTATGCATATCTTTTTTTGTAGGGTGGAGGGCGACGCGAGGGTGCTGAAGCGGGGGGATGCGCGTACGGCGGCAGGCGCGCTCCACCCGCTCCCCCGCCGCCCGCGCCCCCTGTGCCCCCAGCACCCCTCCCGCCATCAACCCCGCACCCGTTGCGCGCCCTGGATGACATGCCGCCAGTACTTAGGTAATAATTTATTTCTAATTTTTTAAGAATATTACACATACATACAATCCTTCATATGAGGAAATCTATGGGGAAGGTAATATTTAAAAAAAATATAGATTAAGAATGACAAACGGGCACACAGCCCACCTGAGTAAGTAAGTACGAGTAAGTAAGAATTTATTACGTGGTAGATCCATGCTGCAGCTATATTATTGGTATAGATGTAGCACGAATGGGTCTACTCAACCGGGGTAGGATCACGCTCTCATAGAATACCAGCGTAAAATATGCTGCTGTGTTTCGTATGGTGAGCATAGAGAACCGGAGACCTTTTTCCGGAACCGGAACATAGGCATTCCATCTTAGTCCTCACGGGTGACAACGCATCTGCATTTTGATTCGTAATCGAGGATAGATGCAGATGTCTATGGGTCACAACAACCACTTACCATCAGGTGGACTGTGTGCTCGTTTGTCACCCTTATCCTATAAAAAAAAGTGGATGCAATGGCGAATAGACATCTAGATTAAAAAAAAGGCATATGCATTGTCACGCCTGCTGTATAACATAGAATGCCTCGTTTGCAGTAAAATGGGCCACCAGTTATCTACACTAACCACACGAAACACAGCAGCAGTAAGCTGTTAGTTTAGGGTGGTATTCTGTGAGAGTGTGGTTCTATCCAGGTTGAGCCAACCCATTCGGGATATAACCATAATATAGCCGCAGGGTGGCTCTAGCACGTATGAAATAGTTTAAGCTATGTTTAGGGATGAACTTTGTTAGACTAGTTTATGTTTTGGCTATTTATGACTATGTGTGGTGTTTATGACTTATTATATAGCTCAAGCGGTATAAAGTCTGTATTATGGGATCTTAGGGTTGCGGATATCCTCATTTTTAAGTCAATCCCGAAAAGAAACCCTTCGAGCATAGCTCTCTCCATAGCTCGCTGAGCGACCTAGAGCTTCCTCATATGGCCAACAGTGAAGGACCACGTCTCAAATCCATAAGTCATCAACTGGTAAGACGCACTGGTTGCACAAGGGCGCGTCAAGGACGACAGCGCCTATACATTTTGATTAAAGAGTATAAATAAGTCTATGGGCGATAGCAACCATTAACGATCAGATGAATTGTGTGCTCTTATGTCACACTTATTCTTTAAAAATATCTTTGTATAATAATCGGATGGTAAGACAGATCTAGTCAATTTTTTTTCATTCCTTTGCAGTGCGCTTTACGTGTAAGGTAAGCCGTTTGGTTTGAATGCATCATATGATGACGACAATATACGAGTATATTTTATGACCGCGTCTATAATCGAAAAAGTCTTAAATCAAACACTTTAGGTAGACCGACAGTATTATCTATGGATGTAGAAAAAACTCTTGCGGAAAATCTCCATATAATGGAGAAGTATGGTTTTGGTTTGAGTCGCAGTTGTTGGTCAATATGTGGTCGAAAACAATATCAAATCCTCGTTCAAGAACGCGATTCCAGGAAAGGATTGGTTCCTCGCTTTCAAAAAAGACATGATCTTTTCGTCAAAAAACCACAGTCTGTAGAATATTCAAGTAAAAAAGCATGCAATCCAGCAGGATAATTAATAAGTAATTTATCCTAATTTTGATTTACTGGCGAAAACAATTGATGATTTAGGTTTACGTGATAAACCTTCACATATCTGGAAGCCGATGAAACAAGTTTTAGTAAAGAACCGAACAAATCAAAAGTAGTAAGACTCCGAGGCTACACGTCAACTAGATCCATCTCATCTCCAGGAAAGACTAATACTACAGTACCTTTAGTGTGCAATGCTGCAGGTGAAAAAGCATCGCCGCTAATCGTGTTTGAAGGGAAAAGCGTTTGGGACACATGGACGTCAGAAGATAGGTACCCTGAAACTCGATATGCTGCGACTTCAGATAGCTGGATGGAATCATCAGTATTTGAAAACTTTATTCAAAAGATTTTTTTGCCAACTGTTGAAGAGAAACGCCCCATTCTCTTACTTTATGACGGTTAGTCTACACACTTGGCTATTAACATTATACAAAAAGCACGAGAGGAAAACATAACGATTATGAAAATCCCAACTCATACGAGCGACAATTTACAGCCATTGGATTTGCCGTGAACAAATCGTTTAAGTTTAAATAGCACGTGGAATTACTAAAGTGGCAAAGATTGAACGTTGGCAAAGTTTTGCCAAATAAAGATTTTTCAAGAATTATAGGACAAGTGGAGTGAGATCAATCCCCTTGTATGTGCTGCAAGTTTCCGTAAAGCTGGAATATATCCGATAAATAAAAATGCCATCCCTGAAAATAAATTTGATCCAGTTCTATTAACTGAATGGAAAAGATCTGCGAAACTGATGAAGAAGACGAACGAAGAGATGAGCGAAAGACCAAAAACTTAATAAAGTGAGAAAAATAGCACTGAATAAAATATTATTTGAGGCACAAGTAGCTCCTTAACATATTTCAATGCATATCTCTTTAGATTCCATTTCAATAAATCATGTTTTTGAATAAACGGAGTCAAGAAAAAGACGCACCATCGGCAAACATGGCCAATGTTCAACAACGTTCAAAAGTTCAGATTCTTCATAACCTGTAATTACCAATATTACATTTGAACAGTTGCTCCTAAGGTCTGATAAACCGGAAAAATTATCATTTATAACAAAAAAAGAAGTAGCGGCTGGCGCGGAAGTTATCACCCACGTCGAAGCTTACGAAAGATATAAAGTAATGGAAGCAGAAAAGAGAAAAAACAAAGACAAATTTGAAACGGTAATAAACAAAAATAATAAAATGTCAATAATAAATTCTAAAAAGGGTAAAGGCATTGGAAAAAAAGTCAAGTTAGTTTAAAGCAAAAATATGAAGAATGTGAAATTACCTGCAAAGAAAAAATACAGAAAAAGATCTTCATCTACCAGCGTATCCGATTGTGTCAGCTTACATGATGATTCTGATATTGTAGACTTGATTGATAAGGACTCAGATCTACTTGAGGAAGACTTTGACATTATTAGAGATTTAGGTTACATAAACTTTATTCCAACCCTTGAAAATAATAACCTTACAGATGAAAAACAACAAAGCAACAGATATTGTTAGTGGATCAGAAATAAGGACAATAGAGACAGAGTCAGTTATTAGTAATATAACAGATTGAAGAAAAAAGGCGACAGATGTAATTAGTGAATCAGAAGAAAGGAAAATGGTGGCAGAAGCAGTTGATAGCAACTGGGATGAGAAAATAGAGAAAGAAAGACGTAAGGAAATTAATCATGCAATTAACAACAATGTGATGGTCAGGTACTACTCTAGAAATAAATGGACATATTATAATGGCTATATAACTAATATAATATCTCCACATCCTAGTTGCAGTGTCGTAACTTATGAAATAAGGTTCTACAAAATTTACAAAAAGCCATTGAAATTTCAACTTACTAAAAAGGTAGATCGTGATACTGTTCCGGTATTGTCTATAGCTAAGAAAGTTCACCTGCTTCAAGATCCTAACAACTCCAACGAGTTTCTTCTTTCAAATGAAGAAGATTTAGTATATTTTTCTTAAATATTTATAAAAAAACAGCTCACAGTAAATTTAGTAATATTTTTTTTCTATTTTTGTAATTTGTTTTGATAAGAAATATGCTCATTCTAAATATTGATATCTTTACAAGGTACCATTGTCAATTTATTGAAGTTTATTGAATTGTACGAGACTGATTAGGAGTAAGAATAAAATTATAATTTCAAATACAAACGATTATTTTTTTAGTTTGTTACCCCTGACCTGAACCTATGTTTATAAATATATGTTTCTCTGACCTTGAATTTAATATTTTCTTTTTCTTCAAAACTTCAAAACTGTACCTTTTTTAATTACGTTACGATCAAATTCTATTAAATAAATTTTACTTAAAATGTAGCAACAAGTACATATAAATAAACATCACAATCTTAGGATATACGTTTAATGTTAAACGTTAGTACAAGTTAAATGTTTTTGGCCGACACTGTCGTAAGTTTTCAAATTAGCGTTATGATTCTTAAAAGTTAAAACATAAAAAGCTGATAAACTAAGGTAAGTTTAATGTATCTCAAAATTCTTATAAAACATTATATGTTCTTCCTAGAGCTCAAAACCTCGGGTTCAAAATAAACTATATTCCTCTTACCCTAACTGACCTTATATTTATCCATTTATTTTTATGTTTTTATATATTTATTAATGTGTCTGATGAGCCTTAGTAATGTTCTTTTACTTATATTTAAAAAATACACTTGTTGGGTTTTTAAAATATAAGTAGTTAGTCATTATAATCACGATAATTTGTAGTTCTAATGGAACTCTTAACAAATCAAGCATTAATGTTTTCACTGTTTATCTCAGAGTTTGTTTGTGCTACAAAGGGTTGACATTTACCGTAATTTCTTGAAAGTTTAATGACACATGTTATAGCCGACAAGAGAAATCTGATATTATACAATAAGGTTACAGTGCATTTGATGCCATTGTACAATACAGCTTGTTTGAAGTACCGACACTAAGATAGGTGTGATAGATGTTTGTCTGTTGTTTTGTATAAAGTTACCTTGTTACCAGCGCCATTGAACCCAATTAAAACACTAGCAACAAATTAACTGTCACTTACTATGGACTACCCTTATTTGAATTATTATATTTACTTATAACTTCTTATAGCTTGGAGCTTGGAGGGGTTTTGTGAATACGCTTAATTATTATTAATGATTTAGTTAGTCTCATAATTGTAAGCAATCAGCTTTGTATTATTTTTTACGCTTTAAGGTAAAACACAGAGTCCTTACGTACTTACTATAAAACACAATGAAAGCTTATTATGTGTACCTTTGTTTACAAAAATTAATTAAGATTCTGCATTTAAAACAAATTAGTTACAACCTATATCGTCCCACTGCTGGGCACAGGCCTCCTCTCATTTTGAGTGGGGTTTAAGGCAAGGAAATGTCCGCTGCGCTGCCCAATGCGTGTTGGCGAACTTCGCATGTCTTCGAAAAAAGAGCCTACTCCTTTTCAAAAGGCCGGCAACGCATCTGCAATTTCCCAGGTTCCCCTGGCGTTGCAGTTGTTCATGGGCGGCGGTAGTCACTTACCATCAGGTGAGCCGCATGCTCGTTTGCCCCCTCTCCTATAAAAAAAATCTTTTTTAAATTATTTTTAGACATGTAGGTTTTCTCACGATGTTTTACTTTAAATTGCAATAAATAATTTCATCGGTGCCGACGGGGATCAAACCCGGATTGCTCATGTACTGTGAAGTTTACAGCGAGCGCTTAGCCTCTGAACTACAATGGATCTTTTAAACAAGGCTGCAAATAAATTCTTACGCAATATAAAGTAATACATTGTTTAGAAAACAATGGCCAATTATTTGTTAGAATGGTCAGGAAACTCCCTGATGCATTAGACGCTCCGCTGATTTATTAGAAATTCCTGCCAATGGATTTTAATTTATCAGTTTCATTGTGCAGTTTATGAACCTTTTGTAGTCAATATAAGTGTCTATTTTCTTTAATAACTTTCTTGACTTGCAAGTGGAGAACCTGTTTTGTGGTGTCAATGTCTTAGAAATGGGTCTATAATAATTGCGAATGCGCACCGAGTAGGGATGGAAAAGTAAATACATTTCATATTGGCTTTATCACCGAATATATTTAGTTTTATATTCTTATCATGTATATCTCGATGAGGATGCTTGGCCAATTTTTAAAACGTAAACTTATTAAAATTGCATGAGTGAATGAAATCAACGTGGCTAATGCAATTATTTCAAATGTTGTGGCCTTGACCTCAACAGCGGAGGACTACGCTCCCACTGAATACTAAAATAAATGAACACCATAACGTTGATGTTTCCTATAGTGAATGTCGCGAATCGAAGGCCTCTTTTACTGGTAACGTGGGTGTCGCATCTGTATTTTCACAAAAGTTAAATGTGTCTATGGGCCATTGTCGTCTCGCCATCTCGTGAATTATGTGCATCTTTATCACCTTTCATGAAAGAAAACAATCGGGTGTTGCTTTCTGTAAAGGGGTAACTTGATGGTAAATTGACGGTGTCTGCATGTGAAATAAAAACGGTGCTCTTAAGGAGCAAGCAATTCTGTACTTGAATTAAGTACTGATTTGTGTCTAAAATGGACAAGAAGAAGATAACAGACAATTTTCCAATCGTAATCTATTTCATTACAGCCTATTAAAAGTCCACTGCTGTAGGTTCTCCCTCCTCCGCATTTGCCGTGGTGGTAGATGCCTTGTCGGCCTTTTAAACAATAGTAGGCTCTTTTCTTGAAGGTCTCTAAATCGTATCGGTATACATAATATTATATTTCTACATATATAAACTCTCACGCCCTTCACTCAAAAGGCTAGGCAGAGACTGATCCTGACACACTACTCTCGCTTCTTTCATATCTATATAATAATGTCATCCAGATCGGATTTTGGTCATGGCGGCCAGTCTCAACGGAGACAAGCCATCTGCCCAGGACAGGATTATAGTCCTCGAGAGTTTGGGCAAGCACAGGTACACTCTTTATTTCCTCACTCTCATAGTCGGATGGTAATCCGACACAATCAGGCGCAGGAGTAACCGCTATACGTGCTTACATCCGTTCATCAAGCATACGAACACATTTTCTTCGCTTATTTGCCCCATCTTCGGTGTATCACCAATTTGGCCGAGAAACTTTCGTCTAGAGCGTCCGTTAAAATAATTCCTTGCAATGTTAAAAGTCTGTAAAAGGTTACAAAGTAAAAAATTAAGTAAAAAAGTTACTACTTCTTTATTTTCGACGTAACAAAAGATTTCAACTTATTATAGAAACATATTATATAATTGCGGACGTATTTGATATTTATTTGTTATTATTCAATAGTGAATCTTAAGATTACTTTAGTATGTAATTTTATTTATTTATTTTTCCCTTTTTTATTTTTATTGGTTTAGGTTAATACACCCATTTTTAGTACACTTAAACAAGGGTTTAGTAAGTTTAATGTTTCATTATTTGCGTTTTTGTTGTTTGCAGGTCTAATCCAATATACACGGAGGAAGAGGAGCAAGAGGTAGTGATAATTGTGGATTCGCTAGAGGCGCCGGAGGTTGAAGTCCCTGATGCTCCTCGCGTCCCACGTCGCGCCCCTTCCACCTCTTCAGGTATTATGAATAAGAGCTTATAATCTTCCGCTCACCAGATGTCGCTAGTTGGCACTGAGGTGAAGTTATTTCGTTTTAGATATAAGTTTTTTGGTAAATGACACAAAACAATCTTAGTGCGGTGCTCTTTAATTTATGCACATTTTTAATTCTCCTTTTATTTCTTCTATCTTTAGAAATATCCGCAAGTTGATTTATTCATTTCTTATCTAATAATTAATAAAAAATATAACTAATATTTCAGAAAGAAACATTAATATTTCCATTTTCTAACAATTTAACTTCCCCATCATGAAATCAATTAAATATTTCACCTCATTCTAAAGCAGCTCTAGCATGGTGGCAGGAGATGATGTGGAAACCCTCATTCTTTTTAAGTCTTTTAAAGTACAAGTTTTATTAATTCTATTAAAGTTGAAGGATAGAATATAAGATATTTTATACGTGGTAGAGCCATGCTGTGGCTATATTAATAGTACAGTTGTAGCACGAATGTGTCGCCTCGACCGGGGAAGGACTACGCTCTCACAGAATACCAGCGTAAAATAGCAGCTTAATGCAGCTGTGTTTCGTATGGTGAGTGTAGAGAACCTATTTACTTACTGGAAAAGAGGCATTCTATCTTAGTTCTCACGGCTGACAACGCATCTGTATTTTAATTCTCAAACGAAGATAGATGTAGATATCTATGGGCCACAGCAACCACTTACCATCAGGTGGACTATGTGCTCGTTTGCTCGTTTGTCACCCTGATTCTATAAAAAAGGATATATTATCGACACATCGTCATTAATACTTTTTTGTCTATTTTTCTTTTTTGAAGGTTTTTCTCCATATAATTTGTAATTTATAAAAAAATAATGCCTTGTGATGATACGTTATATACACTGGAATAAATAGTCTGACTAGGTAAGTCCAACTTCACTAACTTAAGACCTTGAGGTCAATCGACGGATTCAACTGGGCTGGAAAGCGTTCGGGAGATTACGACACATTTTCTCGTCAGGCATACCTCAAAACCTCAAATTTAGATTGTACAACCAGGGCGTGTTTCCAGTGATGACCTATGGATCTGTAACGTGTTCCTTCACTGCTGGCCGTATGAGGAAGCTCAAAGTTACTTAGTGAGTCACTCTATGCCGTAGCAGATTTGTTGTCATTACGTAAATTATACATATATCCTGCATACTGTTGTTAAAAAACACAAATCTCTCCCACTTGACACTTCTATACTCACCAAAAGAAGGATTGACTCAGTAGCTAAAATGCAAACATGTAAAACATTTTTTGCTAGACAACAACACGCAAACCTGTAATGTCAACTATATATGTATGTATATAAGGCCAACAAAGCACTTATCATCTATACCAAAACAACTTTGAATGCAAGGATCTGGTCTTAAATTGGCTTAAGCCACTAACTTATGAGGAAGTAGAGAGCATGATTAGGTTTTAAACATAGAATTACACCCGCAATAGTATAGGAATACCCCCCCCCCCCCCAAGCACACACTCTCTCACACACACACACACACATCCTATTCAATCACACAAGAGTAAAAATTGCATGCATACCTTATTTAAATAATTAGTATGTAGTCTCTCAGTTCATTAACATAGTAGTCTAAATGTATGTTGTAAAAGTGTTTTTGGAAGAGTGGAGTTTCCTAGGACAAGCAATTTACTTAGCTTAAAAGGAATCTCCAAACATAGAAAACTTGTATTTTTAGACTAAGTTAATGAAATAAAGATTTTTGATTTTTTTTGAGCTATGGAGAGGGCTATGCTTGGTGTTCCTCTACGTGATAGACTTAAAAACGAGGATATCTGCAATAGAACCAGAGGTACCGACATAGCCCAACGGATTAGTAAGCTGAAGTGGCAATGGGCCGGCCATATAGCTCGAAGAACCGACAACCGATGGGGAAGAAAGGTTCTTGAGTGGCAGCTTCATACCGGCGGACGAATTGTAGGGCGTCCCCCCACTAGATGGAGTGATGACCTGTTAAGACATGCGGGAAGTCAATGGATGCAGGGGCTCGGGACCGTGCTTTGTGGTATTCCTTGGGGTAGATCTATGTTCAGCAGTAGACTTGTGAAGGGCTGTAATAATGATGACGATGATGATGAAGGCAATTACAAAACAGTATGAAATTCTCCATCTTGTTCTCTATTCTTATTTACTGGGTGCACCCAATGTTTCCCTTTCCGTTTTAACGCTGCTAATGTCCACAATATTAATAATTCGTCTTCCGATGAAGAACTTAGTCAAAAACATAGTGATTGTAGTGGCTCCGCGTAGACCGTTCAAGAGCGGGATTCGTGAGCAACTGAACGCTCGCACGCTGAACGCGAACGCGGAACGCTTGAACGCGTGACCGCTTCCTGTCTGATACAACACTTTGATCTGAAAATGCAAATTTTTATCAAAACTAATTTGTAAGTTCATTGTTTTAAGTGAGCTTTATATTATTTTTGTTTTTGTTGATTTAATATCTATGATATTAAATAACCTATATATTATAAGTGGATATTTGAAAAAAAAATAGGTATATGTTTTAAAAATGACACACAGATATTTTCGAGTTGTAATCAGTCGATATCGGCGATGATGATCCGAGCATGCAAAAACTCTGGAACCAAACTTCTTCAAACAGTTTTTAAAAAGTTGTGATAATAATGTATGTGATCTAACAGGCTACGGCAGCGGCGGCGGTAGCCATGGCCGCGTATCGCCAACATTACCAAAGATCGAAACTTATGAGCCGGAGCCGACACGACGGCTGTCCGACTGCGAAAAGACCGAAGGATCTCATACCACGTCCGACTCTGACGCAAGTCCGACTTGTACACTGTCTAGGAGCTTGAAGGATGATATTAGATCATGTTTAGCAGGGTGCAGGTAACTATATTTTTATATTTATTTAAGTTTAAAATGTCTGTATGTGTGACAGTATAAAAGTAAATTATCCATGGCTTTCATCCATCCATGATTCATTAAAACCTATAAAAGTCCACTGCCAAACAGGCCTCCCACATAGATTTCCTCTTAATGGGGATTTTGCCATAATTGGCACACTTGGCAGGCGGGTGTTCTATAATATTGAAATGTTATCTGGAATATGCTGCTGCCCATCTCATTTTCAGTTTCACTTTGTCTCCTCTTACGACCATGATGTTACTTATATTTTAATGAATATATAAATACATTATACGTGGTAGAGCCATGCTGCAGCTATATTATAGTTGTAGCACGAATGGGTCGGCTCGACCGGGGAAGGACCACGCTCTCACAGAATACCAGCGTAAAATAGCAGTTTAACGCTGCTGTGTTTCGTATGGTGAGTGTAGAGAACCGGAGACCCTTTTTACTGGAAACGAGGCATTCCATCTTAGTCCTCACGGGTGACAACGCATCTGCATTTTGATTCTTAATCGAAGATAGATGTAGATGTCTATGGGCCACAGCAGCCACTTACCATCAGGTGGTCTGTGTGCTCGTTTGTCACCCTTATCCTATAAAAAAAAAAAAAAAAAAAAAAACACTAATTACTGTCTGTCTTTACCTATGAAATTGACGTTCTGCAGTTCTGGGCCCTTTCAAAACAAAATAATTTTTGTTTGGCCCAAGAATTCTTCTTTCACATTGATTTTATTTTAACAATATGGAATTCTTTTTTCAAAATTAATAATTTGTTTATTTATTAGCGTTATGTTTTGGTCATCATGGATACGTTAAAATTCGAGTAATTATGGTATATGAGTAGTACACATAATATTGATCATGAGGACCGTCGTGGCAGCAACGCGCCACAAGCGGTACGCAACATCAACGACGTTAACGGAGCAAACAGTACAAACGAACGCACCATCTGTTATTGGTTTGCCGAATTCCGTTCTGAAAATTTCGACCTGAAAAATGAATCCCGTGGTCGTCCGAAAACTTTGGTCGACAATGATGAATTAAAAATGATTGTGGAAGCTGATGATACTCAATCTACGGCTGAATTAGCAGCGCTCGACGTTAGCATCAAAACAATATTGATCCATTTGCGTCAAATTGGCAAGATAAATAGCTTGACATATGGGTTCCCCACGAACTCAAGGATCGCCAGAGCAAAGTACGCATCGAGACGTGCCTTGCACTGCTCAACAGGTACCCAAACGAAGGAATTTTGAACCGCATTGATACCTGCGATGAAAAATGGATTATCTTTGATAATCGGACTTTGCAAGTTGATTATCACCGTAAAATAGCAGCTTAATGCGGCTCTGTTTCATATGGTTTGTGTAGAGAACCGGAAGCCCGTTTAACTAGAAAAGAGGCATTCCAACTTAGTCCTCACGGCTGACAACGCATCTACATTTTGATCTGCAAACGAAGATAGATGTAGATGCCTATGAGCTATAACAACCACTTACCATCCGGTGGACTGTGTGCCTGTAACTGTAAAAAATTTTGGTTGGATCCTGGTCCAGCACCTAAACCTAAACAATGCCGTAAATGAAAATTTACCCCTAGAAAAGTGATGGTCACTGTTTGGTGGTCTAGCGCCAGTGTGATTCATCACAGCTTCTTACCAAACGGGATGCGCCTTACTGCAGATGTGTATTGTGAAGAACTGAACACAATGATGGAGAAGTTCACACGTCTCTAACTAACTTTGGTCAATCGCTCGTCCTCGCTGCTCCTGCACAACCTTATACTGCACAACAAATGGTCTCCAAGTTACAAGAGCTGGGGTTGGAAGCTCTCCATCATCCACCACACTCACCAGACCTTGCGTCTGCAGACATTTACTTTTTCCAGAATTAATATAACTTTTTGGCGGAAAACAAACAATACCCAAGAGGCAGTACAAAATGTTTTTGAAGAATTTGTTGCTTCCCGTCCAGCTGATTTCTTCAAGAAGGGCATCAATAAACTGCCAATGCGTTGGCAAGGGTACATTGATTGCATGGGTGATTAGTTTCATTAATAGAAATAAAAAATATAGAAAAAATATACGTTAACTTTTCATAAGAAAAGGGAAATTCCATTGGTAAAGCTCTAATACATGACCAGGTGTAGCTACCAGGTGTAGCTCCGAGAATTTGAACGAAAAATGAGTGACATTTTGTTTCTTAATCAAGAATAAAGTTAGATAGATGTCTATCGGTCACAACGTCCACTTACTCGTTTGTCACCCTTTTCTTATAAAAAAAACACATACACACAATAATTTATAGATGCGGATGCTATGATTGGCTATGATTATCATTTTCGAAATATAGAAGTAGAAATAGAAACATTTTTATTCTATATAGATTATAAATAAGAGTCTGTGGATTCGAATAACTGGTACTACTAGCTTGTGTCTGTTCCTAATATTTACATTGTGAATATCACTTATTTAATTTAATCTCCTTATATTTTGTGTACATACATTATTACATTTTCGTAACAAGTGAGATGCCGCAACTAAAGACTGTGTAAGAAACTCCGAAGGAGCGGAGTTATAGCCGAAATAAGAATTTTAAATTTTTTGATTTTTGGCCATTTTGACCCCCTGGGAGTGTAATGAGAACTTTTTGCCCCTGTTCAACCGTGACCCCATGACATCCTCTACATGATATTCTACTGATTAGGCCTAAAGTTCGAGTCATCCCTCAACTCATTTCAAGTCTTATTTAATTTCCTTAAATTTAGATTACTTAGGTATTATTATTTTAGAAACTCTAGGTTTTAAATCGTATATTATGTTGCTCTTATGGTCCTCTTACGAGTATGCAATGCGTGGTATGATAACCATTTCGTTTACACGAGACGTAACAATTCAGACTAGCAACAGGCAGCAGTGCTAAACATGTCATGACAGTGTGATGACTTCTGGAGTCACTCTGTTCTAATAGTCACCCATTGGTATAGCTATCCTGCGGGCATCGTCAATAGCAATATTAATTCACCATCACTTATTTATGTGCTCGTTTGTCACCTTTATTGTATAAAGTGTCTCCGTCGCAGTGAGTACCGGTGTTCCCCCGGTGTGGGTAAATGGGAGCGGGAGGTGGAGGCGGTGGTGGCGGCGGCGGCGCGGGGCGCGGGCGGGGCGGGCGCGGCTCGCGCTCGCTTGCAGGCGGCGCTGCGGGCGCTGCACGAGCCCGCGCTGCGCTACTGCGGGCCCGGAGTGCGACCCGGTGACGTCACCATGCTGCCCAAGAACAACCTCTCCTTACTGGTAAGTGACAACCACACACACAGACACATATTCACAATCAACAAACTCTAAATTTAAAGACAATCTCAAGTTTAAGTTCAAACTAAAATTTTTAAATTTGAGTCCAAGCCATTTGAGAATCTCTTTGAATAAGAAACTATCTCGACAAACTCATAACTCCACAATGTCAAAATTTGAGAAACATAGTACGAAAATTTGTCCAAGCATAATATGTCCTAGATTCATATGTTGACATTGTGGAGTACTCAAGATTCTTATTGAATACTCTATTGTAGGGTGTAAAGTTTGAGTTTAAATTTAAAATTATCTCTAAATACCGGGTCAAGTATAACGTTAGCGTTTACTGAAAACGATACGTATCGTTCTCCATACAATTCTTTATCACTTACCCTTCTTATTGCATTATGTAGTACAAGATCGGACGGAAGACGCAGTCATACAGATATAACAGATAACAAAACTGTTTCAACGTGTGTGGTAACAACTGTGTTATTTTAATTTTCTGTGTCTTACTTTTGTATTTTATTAGCGACCCGCCCCGGATTCGCATGGTTAACACTAGTATCTTTGGCCTGATGACTAGTATGAAGTTTAAGCACCAGTCTGCTAAGTAGCGTTCCTAGATTCGATTTACATTCAAATATTTTTAAACATTTCCTGCACAGCGTTTTTATCGACCAAATGCTAAGTCCAAATTATATTAAGTGTGTTACTACTTTATAAAGTGGTTCTAACGTTAATCTCATGCTACTAAGTAGATAAACCTTAAAACTTTTATGTACGACCCATGAATATCTACATCTTATCTAAAAAAATGATATTAAAAGTCTTTTAGCTTAACTAATTTTGCGTCACACAAGTCATTAAATGAATAACCACAATTTTTTGCCACAAAGCTGTCTAATGGCGGCATAAGATTACCCACTTTCCCATATCGTCCCTTGGAATAGAAGAAAGTGAAAACATGATATGGGCGCAATATTTTCTACCGACTTCAAAAAGGAGACTGTACTCAATTCGACTGTATGCTTTTTTTAAAGTGTGATACCTCATAACTTTTTGCTTGGTGAACCGATTTCGATGATTCTTTTTTTACTTGAAAGCTGGTGCTTCACATGTGGTCCCGTATAAATTTGATCAAAGTTTGACCAATAGTTTTTGAGTTATTCTAAATAATTTATATTGAAGTTGGTTATACAAAATTTTTAATTTTTAATTATTCTTGATAACAGTTTACAATATAAACAAAACTGCTGTTGATTCTCCATTTCCCATGAATATTCGGGATATTCGGGATACATATACGGGAACTATTTGCCATAGGAAGCCTATGTTCAGTAGTGGACTTTAGATAGTATGTTTCGGTAACAGCAGGTATATCGTTAGATCTTGTTTACGGATACCTTATTATTAATATTATATGCATTTTTATTTAATAAGTGCTAGAGCCACGCTGCAGCTATATTATGGTTGTAGCCAGAATGGGTTGCCTCGTACGGGGTGGACCATGCTCTCACAGAATATCAGTGTGAAATAGCCGCCTAATGCGCACATAGTCCACCTGATTGTAAGTGGATTTTCTGGCTCATAAATATCTATATCTGGCCTCGACTAAGAATCTAAATGCAGAATGCGTCGTCGCCCGTGAGGACTAAGATGGAATGCCTTGTTTCCAGTAAAAATAGTCTCCGGTTCTCTACACTCACCATACTAAACACAGCAGTGTTAAGCTGCTATTTTACGCTGGTATTCTGTGAGAGCATGGTCCTTCCTCGGTCGAGCCAACCCATTCGTGCTACAACTATACTACTAATATAGCTGCAGCATGGCTCTACCACGTAAAAATGGTGCTTATTTGTCACTCTTACGTATTCTTAAAAAAACCATTTGCTTTTTATTACATAAATGCCTTAACAAAAATGATGTATATTATGTGATTCCTACACTGTCCTATAGTCAACATTAAAATCTTTAAGAGTGCACGATTTACATTAAACGGTATTAAAAAACATAACATTAAATAATAATTAAATGTATAATTTTAGTGTTTTTCCTTATTTTTAAAGCCTTTTTTGCCTTATCATAATTACATTTGACCATTATCGCAACTTATTAAATGACAGTCTCTGGGCCGTTCATGTCAAAAGCTTGAAGCGCCAACTAAGTTGTATTTACTTAAAAATAAACGTCCTTGTTTAATTTTGTCGTGTTAATTTCAAATTCGCAATGATTGTTGCAATGAGTTGCATAAACACTTGACCCAACATTTGCACAAACACTTAGTCAAAATTAAATGCTTGGTAAAACACTTTTCTGTATCCAGTGTCGAGAGCTCCTCGTGTCAGTAACTTTGAAGTAATGTTGATCAACCTTGCTACGTAGTGTCGTGTTAAAATGTACTTGTAGTACACTTGATAGTGTGTAGTTAATACTTAGTGTAGTCCACTATATCGAAACATAATTAACATGATATCAAAATTAAAATTCTCGAGGCAGTCTCATATTGGCAAGTGTCGGGCGATCCCTCATAAAATGACGAGTAAATACTTGTAGTCACTCGTCATTTACCTTGTAGTAGAAATTGTTGCCTGTGTGAATCACACTGAAACTACGCAAATTTTGGTTTTGATATTTTTGCGTTTATAACACAGTCCACCTGATGGTAACTGGTTGCTGTGACCCATAGACATCTACATCTATTCTCGATTACGAACAAAATCCAGATGCGTTGTCACCCGTGAGGACTAAGATGGAATGCCTTTTTTCCGGTTCTCTACACTCACCATACGAAACACAGCAGTGTTAAGCTGCTATTTTACGCTGGTATTCTGTGAGAGCGTGGTCCTTCCTCGGTCGAGCAGACCCATTCGCGCTACAACTATACTACTAATATAGCTGCAGCATGGCTCTACCACGTAGAAATGATAGCATCTTGTAATTAAAAATAAGATTTTATAAAAAAATATACCTATCACCCACCGCCATATCATGCCGTGGGTGTCGTGAGAGGCGACGGAGATAAACTTAAACAGGGGAAGGCAGCAATATCCTCCTGATAGCAGCTCAAATAATAAACCACTGCGGTTGCCAATCCGGCCGCCAAGCGCGTCAACTTTGGCAAATATCCGTCTATGAGACAATATATGGAGGAGGCCACTGTTCAGCAGTGGACAGTGGACTGTTGACAGGTTGTAATGATAATAATGATGATAAAAAAGTTACCGGCCTATAATCGGTACTGACACATGTACACAATATCATTAAACTAAACGCGAACGACCAATACAAAGCCACTATTGATGAAACATCCACCTAGTCGATGGATGCGGGTGACTCAGGATCGTGCTTTGTGGCGACCTTTAGGGTAAGCTGAATTAGACTTATTACAACAACTAGTTTAGGTATGATTAGTCTCAGGTTTATACTAGAATCTGTTTCACGAAAGAAATCCCGCGGAAATATAACTAAAGTGTAAAGTATGGAGTTTGACAGGACATGTCAAATTTCGCGAAGACTGTCGCGCCGCAGCTAGGGATCATCTTTAATTAGAAAGACTCGTTTAAACCATAGTTTTACCCCTATACTATACAACAAATCACTTTTTGTAACTAGATGATACGTACACTATAGACTTGCGATGTAAGTATTGATGGTGATGAGAAATAAAGTAAAGGTGGTGGTAAGAAAAATTCTACAGATGAAAATATAACTCTGGATATCTTTTTACTTTTTGTTTTATAGTAGATATTTATATATAGATATTTAACGATTCAAGATTAATGAAAACGCCAGAGTGTACGTAATAAAGTCATAGGGTACAGATAATGAAAACGCCAGAGTGTACGTAATAAAGTCATAGGGTACAGATTGATATAGCGGATGAATAATTGAAAAGGTTAGTATGAGAAATTTTGGAGATATCAGATGTAGATAAAATCATACTACGGAACCACGATGTCAGTTTTAGACTTAAGAATATCTAAATATCTTAGCAGAGTCTCGAAAACCCTCATATATGGATTCGGGAATGTTACCCCGTCATTTAATTATGAATACTCAATTTACCGAAACTCTTCTTTAAGTAAATTTCAACAAATGCTTCTCAATTACGAACAGATGTGCATCATTATTAAATAATTTATGACGCACAAATGAATGATCATTGATACTTCAAGCAATAACGATTTGTGTTGAAACCTTATTTGCAAGCTGCAGCAGGACAATTAAATGTGGTATTTATGGGTAGTTTTGCATGTCTAGGTTAATTTGTACCTAAATGCATATTTAATGGTCACTGGTCTTCTGTCGCAGAATCGTGATTAAGTATTTTTAAAAATTTAATTGCTTCTTCGTTTGTGACGTTCTATTAATGGGAAAAAATTGAACACAAAGTCAATTTCAATTTTGTGATCAAAGTCTTCAAAATTAGCTTTTGCCATATCAATTTGTTCCTAGGCGGACATTTCTAGACCAAATCAGGGACGTCTTGAAAAAAGGCCAGGTCAAGAGTACCCTAAACCGTAGAGCATGTATGAAGGGAATAATGAAAGTGGATGAAGCGAAACAAGTATGTAAGGATCGTAGCAAGTGGAAAGAAGTGGTCTCTGCCTACCCCTACAGGAAATATATACAGGATATTGTTCTCAAATGAAACTGGAAAAGCTGGCCAATTTTATGACTGTGTTTTCAACACATCCCATCCATTAAACTTCTTAGAATTACACAGGGCATCGATCTACGGTAAAATTTTAATATTTGAATCATGCACTCTCCAACTGCGTTGCGTCATTGTTGCCAACTTGGTCATTGCTACCAACGTGAGAATTATTTTAAGGTAGTAAGTACTCACTATTTGATATTCAACAAAATAAGTCCATTCTTTATTCCGCTGGACTGTTTGTGAATCATTTGCGCATACGTTTTGAATGTATTTGATGTAATTTAGCATATTTAGGTCATGGCAAATATCAAACTTATGTAGGTTTGATACACACTATTTA